TATTGGGACGTAACAGCTGTCCGGTACTTCCAAGTTTCCAATGTTCCCCCAAGTGATGGCATTTCATGATGAATACCTACTTGAAAAAAGCGACATTGATTTCTCATTATCGGCTTACCGTTATTAAAGATATGTAGAAAAGATTTTTTGTGAAAAAGGATATAAATTTTTTTGTCTGAAAACAATTCTTAGAATCTAAAAGTGTTTATGAAGCAGCGCTCAGTTTCTTTCTTTGATTTTTTTTAACAAGCGTATTTGTTTATTTTTAAACAAGAAACTGTTTAACCCTGGTTTTATTTCTATGGTAAATTCGTTTTAATTATCAGATTTGGTTTACTTTTAGACTATTTTCGTCTGTTTCTGTCTCCATTTCATTAATTAAGTTATTGATATGACAACCATAAGAGATAATTTTATTTAAATTATTTGTCTGTATGTGTAATTATTTTTATAGCTCAGTTAAATGAAATTGACCTCATCTATTCAAAAGTGATGAATTATAAAGCAAAAAAACGTTGAAATATGAAATTGATTAAGGTTTTTCGAAATCTAATGTCGGTTTGTGAAAACCAGCTACTGTTAGTTTTTATTTAGCCTGTAAGGTGCGTTGTTGCAAAAAATAATGGAAAAGCTAATAATACCTGTGTTCGAGCCCTCACTTAAGGCTTCCGGTGATTCTAATCAACATGCAAAAAAAGTATTTTGGATGCTATCACTCTCCTATATCACAATATTGGTAATAGTCTTGATAAAAATCTCAAGTATGTCAGGTGTGCCTTTTTAGACTATACTTCGGCATATGATTCTGTCTCAAGACCTCTTTTCTGGACAAGCTAACCCGGACAAATACTGAGTCGTGAATAATCATCTGGTTGTATTCCCATTTCTCTGATAGAAAACAACATACTGTTCACAGAAAAAGGCACTCTATCTCATTGCTTACTGTATTTGGAGTTCCCTAAGGAGCTATCCTTTCCCCTTGTCTTTTCTGATTCTTTCTGCATGACCTACCATCTTAAGGTGGTATCAATCTTATTGAATATGCTGATGACCTAACAGTTTCCATACCTATCTCACCTTCAGCAGATTGTTCCCAACTGAATGATTTCCTATCTAACTTTCTACATTAGGGAGCTGAGAGTATCCTCAGCCTCTCCTCTTGTGTTTTATGAACTCCTGCGTCTTTCTTGTTCTCCTCTATTGTTCCCCTTTATTCTTGCACGGGTTGCTGAAAAAAGACTATGCTATATTGCGTAGAACTTTGAAGATTGTCAACAGAACTAGTGATGTACCCCAAAATCTTTTGGTTAAAACAGTTGTGGACAAACATATTAACTCATGTAAGTATCTGGCAGGAATTATTTTATCAGATAACCATCATCCTTTCACTCAAATCTCTCTACGTGTCGATCATTAGGAAAGACGAGGAGCAAGTGCATAAGACTCTATGCATGTACTACAAAATATAAAAACTCTACGATACCATATTTAGCTCATCTCCTGTGTGATGAAGGAAGTATTAGAAATGAACGGACTAATCAACTTCTGTTTTTGAAAGCAAACTAACTGATGATGAGCTTTCAGAAAAGAGCAATTATTATTACTGTTATTATTCGCCAGTAAAATACATTACAATTTGGAAGTTAAAACTAGAAAGTGAATCAGTAAGGTTTCAAATTGTGATAAACAATACCTTTTTTCATCCCAAAAAGTAAAGAACTTAGTTGAAAATATATTTACTGTTCCTTTTTTGACACGTAAATATCTTACGTGTATTTGAACTGATACCAACCTTTAAAGAAAACAGCTTTTGAAAAATATATCTGAAAATGCAGATTTCTGAGAATTTATTAGTTGATTTCAGGTTGGTATTCATCATTGACTGATGTCAGTTGGAGTGCGTACGCATAACCCATCCAGACTTGAAGAACCTGGAGAACTTTAAGTTTCTCGCCAAGCTTATTACCATTGAACCAGTAGGTCGGAATCCAAAGCTATTTCGAAAGAAATTTAATCTGTAAAAAAACATTCATTTTATCTGTTTTCAAACTAAAAATTTTTTTTTGAGTTTCCTCCCTGGCAAAAAGTAGTACACTTCTTTAAAAGCATAAGATACACTTATTTACTCTAGGAAGTATAAATTATTGGATTGATGTACTCAGTCAGTAGTAAAAACTGGTGTCCAGTTAATCGCTTGTTAGTACCCAACACCCTAAATAAAATGATGGTTTTTCGAAGGTTTGAGTCAGCGTTACTACTGCTCGTCTTCAAGATAAAATTAGTTACTTCGGTTGACTGAAAGTTACGTGGAAGAGGAACTTCAGTAGGCCTTAATGGGTTTGTACCAGAAATAATAAATGACGATGATCCAGAGATATTACTCATATTAATGAAAACATCATCCGCTCTAGGAGAAATAGATATAATCGTCGATTTTAATGGTCCCCGTGCAAGAAACTTCATTCTCTTATGACAATTACAGAGGAATAAGTCCGACAAACGTAGCGTCGAAGATACTAGGTTCCCCGGTAGTCACACGCTTAAGTGCGGCTCTGAAACAGCATATCTCAGTAAATCAAACAGTTTTCAGCCTCAAGTATGGATGAGTCAAACAGATCTTCACTCTCTATCAAGTTGAGGAACTCGAACACGCTTATCTTCACCAGATACTAGCTGTATCTTCCAACATGAAGAAGTCTTTCAACTCCGTTCATCAAGTGATCTTATCACACTGCCTCCCACTGGAACGTGCACCATCATCTTCTTGAAGGTACTGAATTCCAACAGCGGTGAGAATGTGAGAGCCTGATGTGCAGTTTCAGGTGAGTCATCAGTGTCGACTGATGTCATTCAGTGATGTTGCACTGTCTCTCTTCTCCAAAATAACCTTCTCATAAATTTTTTTATGGAAGCCTTCATCTCTTCATATGGATTTATAGGGCTTGATCTTGTCAGTAACAGGTGGAGAGTACTCTTATCACGTAATCCCTAGAGGCAAATATGCTAAAGAAGTGAAGTGTCTTTTAGACAAATCATGCTTCATGGTGATATCCCGTTGTGAAATTCTCAACGCTAATATTCAGAGTACATTCTGATGACCACTCTATTACCAGGAAATAAAATAACTTCCATGCAAGACAAAGAAAGTGTATCACAACTTCAAATTGTTTGAAACCACAGTGCTACGTTATATCTGTAATGGCCTGTTCGGTTACCTAACCTGACCTGACTTGACTGACCTAATCAGGACATTAGTTTCGATCAAGTCCACTGCTTAATCCACTCTGACATTCATATGAATGAACAATCATTACTTCTCGAAATTTGGAGTTAGTCAACTGATTTTTGAGGATTGCAGATGGTTTGCTTGATGTGAATGACTGGAAGGATGAGAGTGGGAACAGTTTCAGATTTGAATACACTTGATGGAGAATGGAGGATGCTTGTGGAGCGTTACACACCACCTGAATGTGAGTTGTTGTTCGTCGAGTGATCTGTGTGTGTGTGTGTGTGTTGCATCATCGATAGTGATTGAAGTGATATAGTTCACTGATCAATTCACATACCTTGGAATTTGGATTAGGTAGGCAAAATGGATGATTGTTTGATGAGAACTACTTTCTGGTGCTCGGAATGATTTTGGAATATGGCTCTTCATGATTGAGGATATGAGTAAATTTCAGGTGTTCAACTTCCCCTAGCTTGTTATCTGGAATGATATTTTGTGGGAGGGAGCATGATGTTGGTTTGGAGGTGGTCTGGTATATATTTTGATGTTGAAGAGGTGAATCAGTTGATGAGATTGGGAACCTTCATTGTTGTGTATATTTTGACTTGTTGTTGACTTGTCGAAATGCTGTCTGGCGTGTTAATGTGCGTGAACTGAAGTAGTTTTATGTTTTGAGGAGGTTGAAGTTGATTGTAGTAGAAGTTTGTATAGGTTCATGTAATCTCTGACTGTTGGTGCAAGCTATGTAGGATATTGCAGAATTTCAATGTATGGTTCACGGGATACTTAAAGTCGATTATTTGCTGCTCGATTTGGTATCGCTCCGAATCGATCATATTAGCAGATTTGCTTTGGTACATCATGTTAATCCTAATCATTATATAACACTTGGTTGTTCCTTTTTGCTCTCTATACTTTTCCTTATATGATGCTACACAAGTATTCATATTTGTCTGTTGATGACTACATTGTGCTGTGGTGGCGATATAATGATAAGTCGCAGATTTGTTTATTTTTCATTTATACTTGTTCCGATGGTGATACTGACTGACCAACTACTACCAGTATGTGGCAGAAACGTGAATCACTGTAGCTGTTGGAAGAATGTATAACCAATAGTATGGAAGACGACACTGAGAGCATGACGTAATGAGTGGAATCAGGAGTTTACAAATAATTAGCAGCCGAAATATACAGTGTAGGTGGACAAATAATGTATGCAATTCACAAATCAATAATTAGCTTTTTCACAAAAAAATTTCATCAATTGAAAGAAAACTTGCATATTTTGAGCTTCGAAATGTTTTTTTGCACTAAAAGCTCGCATGACCTACTGTAGACCAAGGTAAATGAAGTGACTTCTTATAGTTTTCCTGAAGTAACTTCATTGCCAAGTCATCCGGTTGTATGAAACGCATAAGTTCTTGTTTACCTGTTCTACGTTGAAGTACAAGAAAAAGTCGTCGACATGCTTTACCAGTTTTCAGTAGTACTATTCTGTATGCTGTCAAAAGATATGTGCATCTAACGCCTCCCATAGTCATTCAAGCAAAATCTTATTGAATTTATCTGCATTCTTAAACTCAAAATATAAGCAATGGCCGTAATTTGTAACGGTTTTAATAAGGAAAAGCGGCATTATTCAGGGTTTTATAACCACTGAATAGATAGGAACACTGTCAAAATGTTCACGATTTCCATGGTTATATAATTTAAAGTTGACTGTTTTGCTTATAATTTCCCAGTGCCTGATACTTTACCTACCTTACAGATATGTCAGCTGTCTACCACACAATCGCGTCGACTAGCCAATAAACATGTAACACAATTTGCAATGGATGGACTACGTACTCTAGTTTATGCAAGTCGCCAGGTAGATTTATCAGAATATCAAGAATTAGTCAATGAACTTCAACAAGCTAATTGTCTATTCGGTTATGAGCGTAAAAATGCACTGAAAATAATTTACTCAAAGATTGAAAACAATCTAATACTACTCTGTGTGACTGGAGTTGAAGATAAGCTTCAACCTGGAGCAGAAAAATGCTTAAAAAATCTTCGTGAAGCTGGAATTCAAGTGAGATTTAAAAAAAGATTGTTTGTATGAACATAATTATAGTCAACTTTTTATCATTCTGTTTAGAATAATGAAAAAATTGTTTATTGTAAACAAACAATTACTTAACATTAAAGTGTATGTAGGTTCATGTAGTATGGTGACTGAAGTTATAGACAAGCAATATTAAAAATTTATAGTTAGGCATAGATTTTCTTTACCGAATTCACTGAATGAGTATAACAACACATCTCTACTAATACTGAGTGGAGGGCACAGTTGAAGGAAAGCCTAATTGTGATCTACATATCATTAACTAATTTCTTTCTATACATAATAATAACACAGGAATTATAAAGAATTTTCCAGAATAAAATTAACTAATGAGACTGTTTTAAAGATTTATTTATAATGACTCCATTCAGACTGATAGTGTATCTTAAAAATTTAATCAGCTAGAGACTGAAAAGAAATAATTTTAACAGTTGCTACAATTTAGCCTCATGAAATGACTCTTTCCTTCTGTCAAGCACGATGACTTCATAGTTATAACGCTCTTTTTCTTCTTATTATTATTGTTATTTGTCCTTTGGATTCCTAGTGGAACAGATGGTTTCACCAGCACACAGACATTTCACTATACTCTCTACAGTCTTTTCAACATACCTACACCACTACCCACAAACTTTCACTTCTTATTCACACCATCTCATCCATGTCAACCTCAGCTTACACGCCCAACTCATCGTCACCATGTCACTTCCACTCGACAGCCTGATCTCGTCTGGCGTATGATGTCACCAATCGGTCTTCTCACTGTATATCAAATCCAATACAATCCATCTCCACCTTCTTCCTCTGCACAGTTGTGGGTGATAGGTTGTTGGTTGCTTGGTGGATTCGTTGCAGGATCAGCCAGAGTTACTCCCTAATTACTCTTATTATTCTGGTCATCCATCTGATCTCCATCTTCAGTATCGAGTGAGCGTAGGTGGCAGCTGTTGTTGATGTATGTCTGCAGTTTGTTGGAAATGCTTTCCGTAACTCGCCAAGTCTACCAACCATCACATAGAATCACTGACTTACTTGACTGAATCGGTGTTGAGAATCCGTATGTTGTTGACACTTTATGCTGAGTTCAGTGCAGTGCTGTGGATCTCCACACTGATTTCATATTGATGCAGGAAGGCCTGTCTTGGTGTGTTTCCGATCCTGGTTGCTTTGACATCCCCATCTGTGTCTGTGCCTATGCCGCGTGTAGTTGAGAGGATGCTGTCTATTTAGGTGGGTAGGTGGGTAGGTGTTGGGTGGTAGGTAGGTAGATGAAAGAGACAACTTCGTTTATATTTCTCGTGTTGATGGTGATTGGTGCTTGTTGTTGTTGGTGGTGGTTGGCTGGTTGGGTATCTTCATCGCCACTAGCTTCTTTTCGTCCCCATGAAGGAAGTCTCGTCTTCCTTCGCTGCCTCGCCTCACCTCGCCTCTTCTACCAACTGGTTAGTTTTCGCCTGTACATCTCCAAGTTTTTGAGACAATACATTCGACATAAATCATCATCGTTGGCGAAATCTAAATCTCCTGGGCTCTTTTCATCGGTCCAGCCAGAGTATGCCCATCTTCTCGCTGCTCACAGTTTGTTACGTGATCCAATCCAGTGAACCACAATCAGGAAGATTGTTGGCGATAGCAGGTAGCCTTGTCTTATTCTCGTCTTCACTTCAAAGGCGTCACGAAGCTTTCCACTGTCGTCTGGGTGATAATATCAGAGTAGATTATTGACTCTCCAGTTAAGAGTTTGCAGAGTCCACTCCCATTCCATCTGCAGATTCCTCGCAGTTTCCTAGCACATCTATGCCATACATTCTCACCTCTTTTGCAATCTGAACAGCCTTACCAGCTAGCTTCAAACATTGTGCGGACATTCCATATCTCCATTCTTACTTTCGCTGTTATCGAGGGAGAGGAGACATATTGGCCAATTGGTTTCCCGAAGTCTTTCACCAACTGGTGTCATTTCGTCTCTCCGATTTCAGAGAGTAATAAGTTTACTTTTATTTTTTGTATTTTCTTTGTGCTTTGAAGTTTGTTTAGCTGTTAGGTTGGTTTTCCGGGGTAGGATTGCTAGCCCTATACCCAACCTTCCCTGCTGATCCGGGTTTAGGACTGGCTAGTAGCTAGTGAACCAGTTAACTATTCCATGTTTGTAACTTTCTTAGCATGTGATATTTAAGTCCAATGTATTCATTATTCATGTGTGTGTGTGTAGGTGTGTGTGTGTGTTAGTGACTAATATACTTTACTGAAGAAGTTCAGAATCTATCATCACAAACTATACAAAAATTGATTCTAAAAGCAATAAGGTTTATCGGTTATTAGTACACTGAAAAGGATTTTGTTCAATGTTTCATGATGAACATGACTGTACTGACATCAGCTGAGCACAGGACAACTGTTTTGCCTTAGAGTAGAACTCCTCAGCTGTGCGCATACATGACTCGGCCCCTCTAGAGGTCGAACCCAGGTTTATCAGGTTCCACTACAAGTCCATTACCATTGAGCCAGTGGGTCGGAATCCAATGGTCCATCTTTCCTACTTCTGCCAGTTCGTGGTATAGCACAACCTCCATCCAGTGCAGTCGCTGAGTAACTGTCCTCATGTGCAAATTGGTTGTGCCCACCAATCACAACTCACTGAAGTAGGAAATATGAACCACTGAATACCAACCCAGTGGGTCAATGGTAACGTGCTGTTTCCATCCTTAGCGGGGTCATGTGTGCACTCTGTTAAGGATTCCCATACTAGTTGGACAAAACACTTGTCCAATACTCCCAGGTTCCCAATGTTCCTCTGACTTATGTCAATCTATGATAAATACTAACCTGAAATACATGATATTGTATCACCTATTGGTGGTTAAAAAAATGTTGTCAAAGTTTTTATTTAAAGTTCCCTGGTGACCTTTCAGGATATCATCGATGTTTAGGAGTTTTCCTTACAGATGAGTTTTGATTGAATGACTACATAATGTCTCTCAGAAGTGACTAGCTATTTCATCTTTCCCCACTACAGTTGAGTAGTATACCTCCATAACATGTTGAAAAAAATGAATCTAGATCTCTCAGACTGTATAATATTGAATTTTTAAGGATACTTATAAGTTAATTCAGTTCTGGATCAGTGAAATCTACCTCAGAGATTATTGACATTCGATCAATTGCATTTTACAATGGAAATACTGCATTAAAACAAGAATAGAATTTTTCAATGAAGTTATCTGTTGAAAAGGGATTAAGCTGAAGAAAATATCAACCAAGAACTGATATCAGGTGAAAGATTATTGAAAGCCATAGGATAGTGTAATATAATGTAATATAATCAACCATCTAGTAGTCGTCTCCATAAGCCACTGGACCATATCTACATTTAGTGGAGCACGCACACTATATAGCTAATTCCTCCCAGACTTGCGCTTTTCATCTCTTACACAGTAAAACATCATATGGCGTCGGCTCATGGAAATACAGACTTTGTCTCTAGCACTTTATTTTTTAGTCGGTGAGGTATAATATAATTGCCTATATTTTTCAACTTCCTTCAGTTAATCATACCACTCCTGTGTTAGTTCATAATGAAAGATATCTTCATACTACTCTGCTAATTTACAATCGAAAAAGTAGTAGACAATGAGCCGTACCGATTATGTTAACATTAATGATTCTACCTAGATGCCCAGGTCATATCTTGTGGTCCTCTGGTTGAAAATAAAGTGCCTATACTATTTGCTTAACTGGAATTAGTATTATTTGTTGTTTTGTTTTAGAAATCCACCTTAGCATATTGATTCATTCAACTTGAAAAGTATTTGTTTTAATGATATACTCTAATTTCAATTCTGTTTACCTTTAAGGTGTGGGTATTAACTGGAGATAAAGAAGAGACAGCAATTACTGTTAGTCGATCTGCCGGACACTTTGCACCACGTATGAGTTTGGTTCGTTTGACGAATTGTGAAGACTTTCATAGTTTAGCTTATAAACTGTTCAATCAACTGGAAGATTTAAAAGTTCGTCGAAGAGAAAGAGACTTGAAAAATCGAATTAAAAATTATTTTAAAAAGTCAATAAATTTATTGAAGAGTAAAACCAACTCAGATTATTGTAAAAAAGAGTCTTCTCATGAAAAGTATTTATTTGATAATGGTCTCAGACAGGTGTTCAGTGAAGCTGTTCACAATCAGTATGATCAACCTCGTCACAGACATTCACAAAGACCTGGTTCTTCAGGTGAACCTATTGGACTTGTAATAGATGGTAAAAGTTTACGATATGCATTACATGTAAGTTCTATGAGTTGTTACAATAACGAATTAGACAAGTGGTAGTAAATGCTAGTCAAAGTTTTCTTTTTTTTTTAATACTAAACCATGGTACAATGTACAATACGTAAACTAAATTCAAGGTTTTAGATAACTTCTTTTCAATGAAGTTGAACCGATAGTTCTGACTCAGCACTATTATTAGACTCAGTTTGAATTTATTTATTTATTTCATCAAATGATTTAAAGTTTGAAACCCCCTGCTGGTCAATGTTTTGTTTTAATTTAATAGACAGAACAACAACAAGCACCAGTCACCATCAACACGAGAAATATAAACGAAGTTGTCTTTTTCATCTACCTACCTACCTACCTACCTACCTACCTACCTACCTACCTACCTACCTACCTACCTACCTACCTACCTACCTACCTACCTACCTACCTACCTACCTACCTACCTACCTACCTACCTACCTACCTACCTACCTACCTACCTACCTACCTACCTACCTACCTACCTACCTACCTACCTACCTACCTACCTACCTACCTACCTACCTACCTACCTACCTACCTACCTACCTACCTACCTACCTACCTACCTACCTACCTACCTACCTACCTACCTACCTACCTACCTACCTACCTACCTACCTACCTACCTACCTACCTACCTACCTACCTACCTACCTACCTACCTACCTACCTACCTACCTACCTACCTACCTACCTACCTACCTACCTACCTACCTACCTACCTACCTACCTACCTACCTACCTACCTACCTACCTACCTACCTACCTACCTACCTACCTACCTACCTACCCACCCACCTACCTACCCACCTACCCACCTACCTACCTACCACCCAACATCTACACACCTGCCTACCTACCTACCTACCCACCACCCAACACCCCACACCTACCCACCTAAATAGACAGCATCCTCTCAACTACACGCGGCATAGGCACAGACACAGATGGGGATGTCAAAGCAACCAGGATCGGAAACACACCAAGACAGGCCTTCCTGCATCAATATGAAATCAGTGTGGAGATCCACAGCACTGCACTGAACTCAGCATAAAGTGTCAACAACATACGGATTCTCAACACCGATTCAGTCAAGTAAGTCAGTGATTCTATGTGATGGTTGGTAGACTTGGCGAGTTACGGAAAGCATTTCCAACAAACTGCAGACATACATCAACAACAGCTGCCACCTACGCTCACTCGATACTGAAGATGGAGATCAGATGGATGACCAGAATAATAAGAGTAATTAGGGAGTAACTCTGGCTGATCCTGCAACGAATCCACCAAGCAACCAACAACCTATCACCCACAACTGTGCAGAGGAAGAAGGTGGAGATGGATTGTATTGGATTTGATATACAGTGAGAAGACCGATTGGTGACATCATACGCCAGACGAGATCAGGCTGTCGAGTGGAAGTGACATGGTGACGATGAGTTGGGCGTGTAAGCTGAGGTTGACATGGATGAGATGGTGTGAATAAGAAGTGAAAGTTTGTGGGTAGTGGTGTAGGTATGTTGAAAAGACTGTAGAGAGTATAGTGAAATGTCTGTATGCAAGTGAAACTGTCTGTTCCACTAGGAACCCAAAGGACAAATAACAATAATAATAATAACTGATTAAGTTTTGATTACTGAATTCTCGTTGAGTATTAGAGACTACACAATCCAAAGAGTTAAGTTTTTATTAGTGAACTGTTTGCATTTTATTCTAGTTGACGTTTATTACTGATATACTGTTTATGACTTTGCGGTAGATACAGGGAAGAAACAGAATTAGAAAACAGTGTGGATCAGTGGATCAATGGCAATGCTGTGGCCATGAAACTTGGAGGTCAGGGGTATGACTTCTGGCACTGTCATAGTTACCCATTGATGAGAAGTCCTATGCCAAGAAGAAACACCTGTCCAATGCTCTGAGGTTTCCAATGGCTTTCCGAACGATGCCATTCTATGATGAATGCTAATTTCAAGTCAATACTGATATTTAAGAGCATCTCATTACTGAATAAATAGAACAGTAAGAAATATATACGCTAACAAAACAACTGCATATGCTTAAGTTCTAGGTCAGTATATCAGTGAATGATTCTCCTGTAAGCAAACAAGTAACCTGAAGTATTATCAAAAAGAAAAAACAAAGTAAATAATACTTTTCTTACAATGTTCACTTATTCATTACGCTTAATTATATGATGTCCTCAAAGCTTTGATTTTCATAACCAAGTTGAACAAGTTTGTATGCAGTAATTGTTGATGATGCCAATTAGCTTAGTGATAAAACTACCAGGAATGCAATGCAAAGTTCAGAGGATACCAAATAGTTGGTATCCTTAGCCACTAGTCTTCTTTACTGTCTTATCATGCTTAGTAAACTTTCTGAAAGAATTTTTTTACTATTTACAACCATAAAGTTCAGTGGGTTTACAATCATGTTTTCAATATCATTGATTATCTTACTTTTAATACCAATGTAGTGAAACGTAGTTCTACTTTTATAGTTAGAAATACATTCATATATTGGTTACTTCTTATTTTCATATCAATTAAAAACTCTTTTTGAGAGACTTCTAAGATAGCGAAGGTTCCTGACAAAAAATATTTTACTTATCCGTATACTACGCACTAAAATTTTATTCAAACTTTGCTTCAATTAATTTGTTTGAAGTGAAATTTGTTAAAGGAACTTAATGCAGCTGATAGCACAGTATTTTGAAATGAGAAAGAATTTCCTTCGGTAAGCAGCTTTTAGTTAGATGGAGGTAATAGTGCTTATTGGTACTCATCCATAAGGTGCATATGTAACTTTGATGAGACTGATGTCCTACCTGAGATTCGGACCCACTTCATAAATAACTTGGTGCTGAAGATATTACTAAGCCTGGTGATCAAAAGGTCCACAACAAAATATCAAAGGTTACAAAGCACCAAACCACCATCATCATCACTCTGAGCTAAAAATCTTTCCCATCATTTGAAATATGTGTGATAACAGAAAGGGATTCTGTAGCAAACTGATATTATACCACATGTATGGTAATCTTCTTTAATTGCCTGAAAGCAAAGTGAAGGGGATTTGAAGTCAAACAACTATCAGTTATAGAACAAATCTTAAATTTAATACCTGTTACCGACTAGTGATCACTGAAAGATAACTTAGAATCATAATGAACTGATTAGGTGTTTCTGCCGACTCTTGGAACCTCAGAAGCGTTCAACGACAATTACTTGGATGTTTTAAGTTTCATAGATCAGTTGACTATCAACCTCATTCAACAGCTAAATGAAAATGCAACATGCAGGTGATACACAGTGGAAAGCTCAGTGACGCCTTTGAAGTGAAGACAGCGTTAAGACAAGATTGCCTACTGTCACCGATGATCTTCCTGATTGTGATCAACTGGATCATCCAGTAAACACTGAGGAGCGAGAAGATGGGCATACGCTGGCTGGATAGATAAAAAGCCACAGAAGAAGATTTGAATTTCGCTGATGATTGATGTTGAATGTCTTGCGGCAAAAACTCGAAGATGTAGAGACGAAAGTTAACAAGTTGACAAAAGAGGAAGGACAGCGAACGAAGATGGGACTTCAAGTGAATGTTGAGAAGACAGAGGTGATGAAGATACACAAACAACAACAGCATCAATAACAAGAGACACCAATCACCATCAACACGAGATATATAAACAAGGTTGTCTCCTTCACCTACAACTTCCCAGGCAGCATCCTGTCAACTACACGTGGCACAGGCACAGGCACACACACAGACGAGGATGTCAAAGCCAGCCAACATCGGAAAGACAGCAAGACAAGCCTTCCTGAATCAATCTGAAATCAGTGTGTAGGTTTACTGCACTCAGAACAAAGCATGAACAACATCCGGATTTTCAACAACAATTCAGTCAAGTAAGTCAGTGCTTCTATGTGGCGGTTTAGAAACTTGGCGTGTCACGATAAGCATTTCCAACAAACTACAGACATTCACCAGCAGCTGTCTACGCTCGTTTCTGAAGATCAGATGTCCAGAATAATAAGAATCAGTAACAAGGACCTCTGACTGACCCCACAACGAACCAACCAACAACCTATAACTGAACAAGTATACAGAAGAAGAAAGTGGAGATGGATAGGATTGGATTGGGCATACAATGAGAAGGCCGATTGGTGACATCACGCTCCAGGCCAGGTCAGGTCAGGTCAGGCCATCAAGTGGAATTCAAAGGGGAAACGAGGAGTTGGTCGTGTGAGCAGTGGGTGACATGGAGGAGATCATGTGAAGAAGAGATGAAAGCTTGTGTGTAGTGGTGGTGCCATGTTGAAACGAGTGGAGAGAGTAGAGTGGAATGGAGGCGTGCTATTAAACCCCTCTGTTCCATTAGGAACCCAAGGGAAAATAATAATAATAATAGGTCAATTGACTAAATTGTGTTGATTTTTTAATTTTCAGTGTAGTTTTAATGTTTATTTGATTAAGTTTACGCATATCAATTACTTATGAGACAATAATTTAAATTTTCACTTTATGTTTTCCTTAAAAACTCAAATATACTTTTAGCCATGCTTACAAACTGCATTTTTGGATTTATGCCTACATTTAAGTACAGTTCTATGTTGTCGTATGACACCACTTCAGAAAGCATCTGTAGTTCAACTTGTACGTTCAGGTCTAGCAGAAACTGGAAAATCACCGATTACAGCTGCAATAGGCGATGGTGGTAATGATGTTGCAATGTTGTTACAAGCCAATATTGGAATCGGTATATATGGTAAGGAAGGAAAAGAAGCAGTCCGTGCTTCAGACTATGCTATACCACAATTCAAGTAAGTAATTTTGCTGCATAATTTATCATTTAATACAACTGATACATTAGACTTTTTATTCAGATCAGATATAGGGATTCAATGAATAACTTCCTATTTTTAACTAACTATATATCAGTTGTAAACTCTTTATGAAGAACTCAATAAGTGTACATAATAACTTGTTTTAAAAAGTGTAGTCTTGTAATAGTGATATCCTGAACAAAATAGTAAAATGCTACAGTAAAATGTTACAGTGGACAGAATGTTCCAGTATAATTTCCGGTTAGGTGGCAAAATATATTGAATAATTATAGGAAGTTAATTAATCTATATGTGGATTTAGAGTGGGAAAATAGACAGGGGATTATGAAAATAAAACCACGATTACGTAATGCAGGTTAAGTCTATGACAGAGTAGAAAAATGAATAAGGTATACATGTGTAGTTACCTGATAAAAAATAAATCTGTGGCAGACAGGGCTTTATGATAGCCATGGCAAAGATAAAGCTTGGACTTACTACTTTTGGATGCATAATGCTGGTTTGAACTTCTAGATGACTAGTACTTCAGCTTTATACAAATGATTTGAACTTACTCTTTTCAAGTGGTTTGATCGAACACTGTAAAGAACTTTAATTGGGTTCTCAAAAGAAGCCACGTGGTCTGGGTTTATGAGATGTTCTGTTATTGAAGTGAAGATATATTTCTAGCCAGCCAGTGTTCGCAGGCACGTTTCACAAGCGAACGCATGGTACGGCCGATGTACTCAGCACCACAAAAGCAAATAAACTGATACACACATTGTTATGACCCAATGCATCGGCTTGTCTTTCACACATTGATCTGTTTATTTTCCTACTCTGTCATTGGTTTATCCAGTATTACATAATCATAATTTCATTTTCATAAACCTTCGTTTATTTTCCTTCTTTGCCATACATTCCTCCTGTATTGCAATATTACAATTCATTTCATAATCCCGTGTCTATTTTTCCACTCTAAATCCAAATATGGATTAATTAACTTCCTATAATTATTCAATATATTTTGCCACCTAACCGGAAATTATACTGGAACATTCTGTCCACTGTAACATAAATTCATGAATGTACAGCTTATTAAATGATTTTGTTGAAGAGAAACGTTTCTCTTCGCTGCAACCATATCTTGTCTTTCCCTACGGTAAAATAGGTGTACGTAGAATCAATAAATACCTTAGTAACCGTAAGAAAAATATGACTAATAGACGTAACACTGGTGTTCATATTAATAACAGTAATAATAATAATATCATTAAGAAGAGTAGCAACACTGTGAACAGGGAATTCAAAAACTCTGTAGTATGTAGTATAACCATACAAGGAAGGGACTTTAGGGAAACTGAGAAGAATTCTCAATAAGGCTGGGTTTGCAGCCTCATCTTAAACTACAAACCCACATAGAAACAGCCTTGGTAGCTTAAAATATCCAACTAGGGAAAATAATTTAGTTTACCAAATGCCTTGCAACAATTGCAAGGTCAAATACGTGGGTCAAAGTAATCAATCGGTATCAGTTGGGCTATTAGAGCACAAAAGCCTAGCTACATCAATATTGGTAGATCCTAGTAACGTGAGAAATTCAGAGATAAGCTAGACCATAACTATGCATACGATGACATACAACTATACAATAGAATGGGATAGGAGGGAAATTCTTAAAGCTAAGAAAGTGGGATGGAGGGAGAGGTTGATAAATGAATTTTTGTTCATTGAGTGAACACATAATACATGCAACAGGAAAGACTCAAAACCTCTTCTGAATATTTAGAAAATCCTACTACCTAGAAAATAAAGGAGGTAAGAGAATTAGAACTACACAAACCAAAACGAGTCCCAAATAGGACGAAATGAGCATCCTGGATTCCACTGCTAGCCACGATCCATCAGTAATACACGAACCATGTCACAAATTTGGAGAACTACCTTGGACAATTAACTCTATCCTTCAGTGTATCATACAGCTAATAAATCAACTAAAACGGAACTGCATTCTACCACAGCGCTCAAGTTTCATTCTTGTATTCTAAGCCATACAATCTGATACCTCTGTGTATCACTCACCAGTGGTTCATGACTTCATGTATTGATTTCATATACTTTTCGGGTCACTTAGTTTTCTTTGAACCAAACCATGGTTTTATTCATGCTCTGTTTGTGCAAATAATGACTCAGCATGCTTAGTAGTGGGTGATAAATGTGTTTCCAATCTCATAGTTCCTCACAAGTGATCTCAATATTAAGGGATTTTTCAAAAAGACTAGAAACTTGTACTGATTGGTCACGAGAATGCAACCAATTTCATGTTGTCTAGTCCTGAGTGTAGGCCGAATCCTATCGATCATATTTGCAATGTGGCAACCAAGCTAGGAAGCTCAGCATCGCGGTGAACATTAGTAGATGTTGGTTGGTTGGAGGCAATCGGTAGGAAGCCCTGAACCTAGGTTTCTTGCTTTTTGGCACTTGTCAGCAAGGTGTATCTGCAGCCTTGACGGAATTGCTGTCCCGCCGGAGGTGAGCTTCCTAGCTTGGTGTCCACATCGCAAATATGATCGATAGGATTTGGTCTACACTCAGGACTAAACAACATGAAACTGGTTGCACTCTCATGACTAATCAATACACGTAAGCCAGTCCTACAGGAGGTCAATCGCTGCCCGAATAACTCAGTGGTAAAGTCGTTAACTACAACACTGGGTAACGCGAGTTCGAACTTCAGGTGGGACATCAGTTCCGTTGAGGTTGCAGATACACCTTGCTGACGAGTGCCAACGAGCACGAAACACAGGTTGAGCAAAACTTCCTGCCGACTGCCTCCAACCAACTAACAGACTGGAAACCTATCAAGCCTACTGTCTAAATTGAAACAGTAGGCCACACCAAATGACAGTGGTCATTCATAAGCAGTTGTATATCTCACCATCTCTAGGGATCAAGAAGTTTTTGTATCTGGGATTTCCTCAGAAGTTATTAGTCAATACATGAAACCCCTTCACTTCTTAATAATAAAGTGAGTGTTGGTGTAAATTGGTGTGATGATTGTATCAAACATGCAACGTATTTAGTAGCCAAAGTACTCCACTAAAATTCTTGTCGAAAACAAATGTTTTGGAGAGGTCAAAAGTTGTACAAGCACTGTATATGTTCTAGAGAAATTGAAAGTTAGCAAAAAACCGTCTACTCAGTGTTCATTATTTATTGGTAGTGTAAGCCTTCTCAGGATATCAATGGTTGTCATTACCTTTGATGATAACTGGCCACAAGCCTGTGCATTGTTGTTCAAGTTCTACTAGAAAACTGTCAGTAGTGTGATTTACTTGTCTGGCATATTTTTTGTAGTGGGATATAATAGCTTCAGATATATCAGTCAACACAGCTAAGTATTGCCTTCAGGTTAACCAATGTGATTAAAGCTGCATATTTGTGCTAAGGATTTGATGAAGGGTAAATTCTTGATCAGCACACTTATGAAAGGGTGTGTAGTAATTCAGGAAAAGACAAGATTGGGACGAAGGAAGGAATGTTTATTATTGACATGTGGTACATTGGTCATCACCACTAAAATAATCATTTACACAATATACTTCATTTCCTCTTCTACTTATATCTCCATTTGCTCTTAATACTCCCACATTGTCCCTTGCATTTCTTTGGGAAGAACATCTACTCACTGCTGGTAATTGCCTATGATTTCTGCTGCCTTCTCAACATATAGTACTCATATCCATTCCGATCAGCAACGTCCACTTCACTCTCCCTCCAGTCAAAATTTCGGGTTTTCAGCCGAGTTGATCGTCTTTGTGTTGTCTTCGCTTGGTGTTCATGCAATGTTTCGTCTTTTTTCCACCGTCTCCATTTGTGAAGTAGGCTGGCTTTTACTATTTTCTCCTTATCCAGTCTTCCGATGGTATAAACTGAACCGTGTCTCTCGGTAACCATGTATGGTCCTTCCCACTTCAGGAACAGTTTTCTCCTACCATATTTACCTCCCGAAGTATATTATTGTTCTCTACACTTCACTTTCGTCTCTAACCTCAAACGGTTTCCACTTACTTCCTTCTCTCACCTCGAATTTTTCAGCCTCAGCTTTCTATTTCTCTTCCACATTTATGATTGCCTGTTTTCGCTCCTTCCTCACTCTTGTAATGCTCTATGGTTGTTGTCGGGGCCAGGTCTTACTATGTATTGAGCTATGGTTTCCTGCTGTATATTAACTGGAACGATGACTTCTTGGTTGTTCCTTGTTCAGAGGCACGATGCGCTAACAATATTAACGACGGTTTCGTCTCTCAATCCTATCCTTTTGAAGCCTGCCACTCCTTAAGTGTACGGTTATTTCATTCCGTCAACCCGTTAGTCTTTGGTAGTACGGTGCTGTCCTTATCCTCTTGATATCGAGCTGCTCCAAACACAATTTGAATTCCTTGTTCTCAAAACAAGCACCTTGGTCGGTCAATATCATCTTTGGTACACCGTGATCCGCGACACACCGCGCACCACCTCTGCGATCACTATCTTCACACGTTGATCAGGAATCGCGATAGCTTCTACCCATCGCGTAGCATGCTCCATCATCACCAACAGGTATTGGTTGGCACTAGGTGTCTGCGGAAATGGTCTCATTACGTCCACAGACTACATGTCACCCACACACTGATGCTACTGGAATCAATTGAAGCGGCGGTCCTATGTGCCGATCACCTTTTCATCAACTGACAATGTGAGTAGCCTAGAACGTGTTTGGCAACATCTCTTATACCTGGGCAGCATGCACTTTGTCTGAGAAGGTCACCTGTTCGTAAGAGACTTGTATGAGATAACTGGTGGCATGCTTATATCATTTTATCGCGTAGACATTTCGGAATCACTGCCAACCAGCTCCCGTCGTTTTGTCGCCAAGTCAGTATCCCATAAGTATTCACCCGCAGGCGTTCTTTCTGTGTCAGTATTGTTCTCAACTCATTATCTCTCACAAGCTTGTTTTTTTCTGTTCCTTCTGTTATGGCTTTTATCACTGCCTTAAGCGTAGGGTCCTACTTCTGAAGGCGAATAATTCTTAATGGGTCCCGTTCTACTGCATGTACAACGTGTGTGACCTCACGTGGTTAATTTTCTTTATCTAACTTGATAAGGAGTCTGCTAACCAGTTTTCTTTCCCTGCAACGTGACCGATTGTGAAGTCATACTCTTGCAGTAGCAACATTCAACGTGATAATTTTCCTCTAGGGTCTCTCTCTGTCTTTAGCCACTTGAGAGGTTTACAATCAGTTTCAGTGCGAAATCGCTGACCCCATTTCTCAAGCGCCCAAACTATCACCGGACATTCCTCTTCAACCGTGAAATATGTCTGTTCCGCAGGTAGCAATACACGACTGGCATACTCCACTACTCCTTTAGTCTGTCTCAGAACTGTGCCTAATCCATAATCACTCGCTTCGGTGGCCATGATGAACGGCCTCCCAGGTATTGGTAGTTTTAAAGTCGTCTCCTGGTGATTTAGGAGTTCCTTTGTGTGATCAATCGTTTTCTGTGCCTCCTCTGTCCACGTAAATTCCGATTTACAAAATGGCCTTTATAAATGTGCTGCTATCTCATTGAAATTTTTGAGCAACCGACTATAGAATGCTGCTCTATTCTACCCAAAAACTGTCTCAGTTTCCTTTTTGAATTCGGCACTGGAATGGTTCTAACCGTCAAAATTTTCTCAAGTAGTGGTATTATTCCACCGTTTCTAATTTTATGTCCTAGTAATGTAGCACTCTTCTTGGCTACCTGAGGTTTTGTCTTATTGATGTGCAGTCAAAACTCGTCAACGAATCCTGAAACAGCTTCCACGTATTCTAGATGTTTTGCTTCCTGGCTGTATACCACCAAGTTGCCACCAAACACCTCTACTTTCTCTAAATTATTCAGCAACAACATCATCAACTATCTAAATGCAAATGGTAGGCCTCCAAGACCAAACGGCATTCGCTTGAATTGGCATTGCTTCTTGCTCATAATAAATGCTGTTTTCTCTCTATGGCTTTCGTTTATTGCAAGCTGCTAGTAGTCTGAATGGAGGTCCAGAACTGTAAATACTTTTGCATTTCGTAGACAATAAAGTGTTTCAGCTACTGTCGGCATGGCACACAGCTTCAGTTGCGTTATACTATTTAATTCTCGGAAATCAACTCAGAATCTATATTTCCCATTTGACTTTCTTACCAAAAGCACTGATGAACTGTATGGGCTATCAACCTCTTCAATAATGCCTCCATCTAGCATTTCCTGGACCTAGCGCCCAACTTCTTCCAAGTGACATGGTATTCTTCGTGTTATGAGTGTTGTCATTCCTTGACTTGTCACTGGGTTTTCATGCTAAACCTTGTCACAGTGTCCGTAGGGGTCCCCATCCCCTGTGAACAATCTGTCGTATTTCTTGACCAACTTCATGATGTTTGACGTTTCTGGGTGTGGTGCTTTTGATAGCTCACCTAAATCTCTTCTACCTCGCTGTTTTCCTGCGTGGTGAATTACCCGTACTTCGTCGCCACTATTCCTGTTCTCATGTTAATAACTGCACCCACTTCCCTCAAAAAAATTGGCACCTAGGATTGTCCGTTGTAGACGCGTGGTCACAATGAATGAAAATTTAATCTTCTGACTTCCAATCTCGGCGACACAACCTGAAAAACCTGCGATTTCTAATGCATGTCCCTCAACCATATGGACATCGACCGTCGGCGCACATGGTCTTATGTTCTGACACTGACTTTGGCTCTATCAGCGAGACTGTCACCCCTGTATCGATTACACACACGACCTCCCGATCATTTATTCGCATTCTAGCATACACAGCGCCTCGATCTATGGCTACTACAACATCTAGTTCATTCAGAAAACTAGAATTCATATTATATCGTTCAAAACGTTTTTTTTCCGCACCTCCGCATAGTTTCTTCGCCAGTGTCCAGGTTTTCCGCATGCAAAGCATTTACTCTGTCTATTGATATTCATTCTAAGTGCAGCCACCTCCTCCTGAAAGTCGTCGATTTTTTTTCAATTATTTGTCTCTGGTGACCCCACCGCAGCTATGCCTGTGCCCATTAGCTGTCTGGTGACCTTTACCAGCTCACTAATATCCATGTATTGGGCTGCGTTCAGTAGTCTTAGGTCTTAGGCGACGACATTTGGGACACGTTCGATGAATTGCCCCTGTGAGTTTCGTTCAAAGTGGGAAGTGTTCGTCGAAGTAGTTTAGCCAACTTCACAGCCAATACCAGCGGATCTTCGTCTGTTCAAAGTTTCGTGCTTTGGAACTTCTGCATCTCCAGCTCACTGTCCGCTTGGCTGTCAAACTCCGCCTCCAGTCGTTCAACCATTCTCTCCCAAATATCGTTTCCATTCACGCGTTTCACGCAGTTATATGCCACCTTCGCTCTATCCCTCAGCAACGTGCTAAGCACCAAGTCCTTCGCTCCCGGATCCTGAACACCCACCAGCTCCGCGACCGACTCGAAGTTCCAGAGGAAGACCTTGATCTCTCGATCCTCGAACACTGCAGGCCACGGAATCTTGATCATGTCCAGAAGCAGTGACAGGTATTAAAGGAGCATGAAGACAAAGAGGAAGGGTGGAATGTTTATTATTGACATCTTGTACAACAGTCATCAAATATTGTACACTTTCCACTAAAATAGTCATTTACACAATATACTTCATCTCCTCTTCTACTTATATCTCCATTTGCTCTTAATACCCCCACATTGTCCCTTGCATTTCTTTTGGAAGAACATCTACTCACTGCTGGTAATTGCCTATGATTTCTGCTGCCTTCTCAACATATACTACTTATATCCATTCTGATCAGCAGCGCGCACTACAAACAACTGTTTCTTTTCGAAGAAAGTATGTTGTTCTTGAGCGTTAATTAAGTGTTGGGTCGATTTGAATATCAAAATCTGGTTACCTATATTTATCTGCACCTTGATGTAATCAAAACCTTATCTCTCAGAATTTCGAAGAGCTCTCCTTTATCCTAAATTTTCAATCAATAGTCTCAAATAATCATCCCAGAAACCTCTCAATTCATCTTATGTTAGATTACCATTGCTTTAATGGTTGAAGTGGGAACCTAAGCCTCTTGATTCGTATACTTTACCCTTGTATGGTGATTCTGCATATTATAAATATATCATTATTTTGTTGATTATAAATTGCTGTTTTTGAAAGTGAGGCGTAATATTTAGAGTTAAGTCACATGATATTGTTGAAATACCGATGACAGTATCTACTAAGCAACTTAAAAGCATACAAAACTATCTTGAAAACTGGCAATCTATCCGCTTTGTTTCAATGACAGTTGGATTCATGCCAATTTTGAATTAGTGTTTCCGCTACGAATAAAGGTAGTACAACCAATTGGTACCATGGACTGATAGTCATACTAGACATACAGAGGAAACCGTACACAATCAACCATGGTTAAAGTCTAGAGATTATGCTATAAAACATGTCGATGCACAAAAGGCAGCAGTGAAACCAACCTCGAAATGGGCCAACACATATTCGATCTTAACCTGTATGACTCGGTCCCTAGATTGGGTCTTTTTCCGAGAAATGTGGATTCAGTTCTCAAACTTTTTTAATCCCACGTTGTTCAGTTATCAGTGACTCTTCACCTTGAAAACTTTTTGCAGATATGAGTACTGACTGTCACAAAAATTACATTGCCTGGTCTGGTTTTTCAAAAACCAGCAACAGCGTTCCAGTTCACAAAAGAAGAATGATAGTTTAGCAGACTAGCCTCCCATCTCTACACAAGTCGATATTTTGAAAGGTAAAAAACAAATTTAGTCATTACCTTCACTGATATATTCACTTTTGATCAAGTTACCACTTTCGCCTAACAATTAGCCAAAGGTTCAACATGCATCAGATACTGGGAACAGGGCCAGGATGTTAACCAGATTGACGTTCAGTACAATATACAGTATTATAGCAGTGCACTGAGCAAAGCCCATAGAAGGATAACTTCGTCGTTGTCTTCATTTACCAAATCACATCGCGGTGCACATTAACAGATGTTAGTTGATTTGAGGCAATCGATAGAAAGCCCTGCTCGACCTACATTTCGTGCTTGTTGACACTCGTCAGCAACTTCAACGGAACTGATGTTCCACCTGGAATTCGTTGCTCTCCCGTGACCAGTCAGTGCATGTAACCCAGTCTCAGAGGAAGTTGTTCGCGGTCTGAAAAGCTCAGTGGTAAAGTCGCTAACTACAACACTGGATGACGTGGGTTTGAATCTCAGGCAGGACATCAGTTCCGTCGAGATTGCAGATACTCCCTGCCGATGGGTGCCAACGAGCACGAAACGCAGGTTGAGCAAAGCTTCCTGTCGACTGACTCCAACCAACTAAGACAGCGAGTTCATCTGCCAAGATTGTAGAATAAAACTAACATAAGAGAACTGGAATCGACTATTGTATCAATTCTAGCTGAATGTTCAAAGCCTGAAGGTCTTGGTTTCAACCTCTAGTCAAGTCGTGGGTGGGTGCTACTGAACAGTCCCTTAATAGAATAAAAGACCTGTTCACTACTCCAAGACCTGCGATGGTTCACCAACCGGTGTCATTCTATGATGAATATTACCTTAAAAATTTCAGAAAAGTTCAGTATTTTTCCTCACAAAAGGTTTTAAATGAGATATTTGATAAAAAGTTACCATTAGCATATATTAACTTGTATTCAAATAATCTTCCTTTCTATGCATAAAGTCAAGTTAATATTAGTCTTTTATTATAATAGCTATAAAATTTAATCATTTTCTTATCTTCTTGTCCTATACATTATAGATATCTTCAACGGCTTCTGTTGGTTCATGGACATAGATCTAATTATCGAATATGCATAACAATGAATTTATTCTATTACAAATGTGTCACTTTGTAACAACACAAATTTTCTATACATTTTATAGTGGTTACTCGGCTGTGGCAACATTTGAGACAGTTTTATTCTCAATATACAATTTAACTGTAACATCAGGAATGTGTTTAGTGTTCGGTATGTTGAACGGCACTTACCAGATAACATACTCAATGAATATCCTTATCTATATAGACTGGTAAGTTTAATATAGTAAATTATCAAGGCTTTTTTATTGACCTTGTCTCCGTAAATATTAGATAAAACTACAATTGTTGTTGTAGGTAATTATCTCAGTTTGAAGTAAAACAATCGTAGATCATCTTCAAGATGCATATAAATTTCTTGCTGGTTACCCGTCTTCAGCTAGACGTATGTATGACAAGTCGATTTCTGAGGTTACCTGGCAATACTTAGTTAAAATTCTTGACAAAATCGAACCAGCCAACTATAGACTTCAAATTACACACTTTCATCTTCAGACTGATGTGCCAAATTTCATATGCGATACTATAAAAACTAGGTTAGGTAGTAACCTAGCGTTAACTGTGGCATAGAACATATTCCCTTCAACCATCATTAGTAGTTCACTTGACTTTCCTAATTTCAGAAATCCTTGTTATACCATTAACCATTTCTTCATCAGACTAGTAGTCAGTGAATTTGATGAATGTATCATCTAATTTCTGTGAAGTTGTTTCATGTTGCAAGTTGACTTCGGTTACATAAAAACTAATCCCCAGTTTGTCACTATTCCCCCTTCTTACTGGACTACTGGAGGCAATCTGCAGTATGTCTTACATTTCAGTTTCCTTTTATTTATCACAAAAAACTACATCTGGAGATCACAATAAAGTGATAACGTTGACATACACTAGCCTACATCATTCATTACTTCATTTACTACTTCCATCACTGAGTTATCCAGGTAGCGACAGATCAGATATAAAAGTTTGTGCGACATTATAAATTAATCATCATCGACTAAATCCAAATCTTCTAGGGTATTTTCATCAGTGCAACCAGCATATGCCCATATTCTTGCTCCTCATAGTTTGTTGCATGATCCAGTCCAGTGGAGAATAATCAGGAAGATGATCAGTGATAGTAGGCAACTTTGTCTTGTCTTACTCCTGTCTTCACTTCAAAGGCATCACTGAGCTTTCCATTGTGAATCACTTGGCTGTTGCTTTAGTGAGTTAAAAAATCCATCATAATGGCAGTGTGAAATTTCTTTCCACTCAAAAAAATAATAACGCATTAGACTACATAGAAATACTTCAACAACATCAGAAAGTTCATGTATTATTCTCAGTTCAGCAGCCCACTTCTCTGTACTATGATGTGATATTCTAGTCATTAGGAACTTGCACATACGAAAAATACAAACTAAAACTCTTTGTATCACTGTAAAGGTTAAATAGTAAATATCAAACAAAAGTTGTTCATCATGCTTCAATGTTTTCAGAAAGTGCACAGACATCATCGTCTGCTCTTATCTTCTTGTTTCCCCCTCCCCCTCCCCCTCCCCCTACCCCTACCCCACACCCCCACCCCCACCCACCCTTTCTAACCAATGAAACACTTTCACGCTGATCAAGACTATATGAAAATCAATTCTGGATAACTTATTCCATCTTCTCAGGCATAAAACATTCAGAGGGTGTTTCAATCTTCTGTTACAAACTACCCATCCACAAAAATTACTGCTAATCACGGCAACCAGGCATAACTGACCAACACAATTGTAAAACTTGGTTGGACACTGTGCTAGATTACAATCCCATTTTAGTCTGTTTGTTACAAATATCATACAGTGAAACTGTATCATTTACTCGACAACATCGTTTCGCACACAATTTATTTAGTGTCCATATTCATATCACGTAATTTCACAACTTTGAGACACAGTTTATACAATCCTACTTTTCTCTCCTTCTCTGTGATGACAATAGTAGTAGAATTTTGGATATATCTGAGATAGGTGGAGAATCACATCTCTGGCATGTATTTAGTGTTGATTCGATGAGCATAGATTGAGTCACCAACCTGTTTTTCTACTCAATTCAGTTAGTTGTTGATGCCTTCGCTGTATCCCACCCTACTGTGTGATTGTATGTAATTGGGTGTAGAGGTGTGGTCGAGCTACTTTCTAAATTTCTTATCTTATTCGGACCTTCTGATCCCGATTTGTCTAAGTTAGTGTGCCCTATTATTCTAATTGACCTTGTTCGACTACTTTGACCAATATATTTGACTTCGCAGTTATTGTTAGGGAATTGGTAAACCAGATAATTTTGCTAAATTGGATTGGTAGGATCTCTTAACCCACGTAGCTTGTTTCTGAGCTAATTTTTTGGTTTAAATGCTTCTTTAATTCCACCTAGCCTTATTAAGAATCCTACTTAATATATCTAAGGTGCCTCTTATGTGTTGCCTTGGAAAGAAGGCATTTCAGAAACAGTATTTTACTTTACTACCAAATATCACAGAGACGATGGGATGATTAGAACCATACAAGCCATGTCTTAAAGTTATAAAGTTACCTGAATATGGACAATAAATTGTGTCCCAAAGGTAATCTAGTAAGTAGTACTGTTTCCTTGGTTAACAATTCTGACAAACTAAATAAAATGCAACAACTGACCAATAGCCTTTAAGAGATTCGTTAAATACATAATAAGACGATATGGTGTGTTTTGTTGATAAAAAATATACTATTTATTGAAACATTAGTGTAATCGCATAAGCAGTTTATTTGATTTCGAAAATTAGCCTTAAAAATGATTGAAAATTGTACTATTCATAAACCAGCTTATCCCATTCGATCCATAGTTGACTTCAGAAATACCCCCAGTATATGAAATATCAAAACCACGCCTGGTTAACTAGTTTACTAGTTACTAGCCGGTCCTAAGCCCGGGTAAAGAGGGAAGGTTGGGCATAGGGCTAGCAACCCTACCCCGTAAAACAAATCTAACCGCTAAAGAAACTTCAAAGCACAAACAAAATATAAAAAATGAAAACAAACTTATTCCCCTCTGGAATCGGAGAGGCGAAATGACGCCAGTTGGTGAAAGCCTTCGGGAAATTAATTGGCCGATGTGTCTTCTCTCGATGAAAGCGAAAGTAAACGTGGGGACATGGAATGTCCGCACGATGTTTGAACCCAGTAAGGCAGCCCAGATTGCAAGGGAGATGAGAAGGTATAACATCGAAGTGCTTGGGATTTGCGAAAGCAGATGGAATGGGAGTGGACTCTCCAAACTGTCAACTGGAGAATCAATAATCTACTCCGGTCACCCAGACGCCAACCACGAGCACACTGAGTATGGAGTGGCTATCATGATGTCCTCAAGAGCATCGAAGGCTCTCATGCAGTGGGAACCAATCTCCTCCAGGATCATGACAGCAAGATTCAACTCAAAAGGAAGAGAGGTCACAATCATACAATGTTATGCACCTACAAATAATGCAGAGCAAGAGAAAAAGGAGGAATTCTACAGACAACTGCAATCAACACTGGACAAGACGTCAGTTGGCGATATCAAAATTCTGATGGGCGACATGAATGCCAAACTGGGAGGGGACAACACGGGAAGAGAACTAACCATGGGTCGAGAGGCGCTAGGTGAAATGAATGAGAATGGAGAATTGTTTGCAGAATTCTGTGCATTCAACGATTTGGTGATTGGAGGCAGTGTGTTCAGGTGCAAAGATATCCACAAAGCGACATGGACTTCACCAGATGGACACACTAAAAATCAAATCGACTTTATCTCAATCTCAAGAAAATGGAGACGCAGTCTACTTAACACAAGGTCAAGAAGAGGAGCAGATGTAGGTTCAGACCACTATCTAGTGCAAGGAACCTTCCAAATCAAGTTAAAAGCCTTCAAGGAAGCTGGTGATAGACCTCAACTCAAGTACAACACTCGGAAACTGAAGGATGAAACTACAAAGGAGATCTTCAAGGCAGCCATCAAGACAAAATGGGAGACATCGAGGAACATCCCTGAAGAAACCTGTGTGGAAGAACACTGGAAGTCTTTGAAAGCTATGTGGAAAGAAACCTGCACAACAGTATTAGGAAGGAAGAAGAAAGAAGACAAGGAATGGATCTCGACGGATACCTGGAAGCTGATAGAGGAGAGGAGGATGGTGAAGCAGAAGATAAACCAGTGCAAGGATGCTCAACGACAAGAGGAACTGAGCACAATGTATAAAACACTGGACAAAGAAGTGAAGAAGAGTGCACGCAAAGACAAAAGACACTTCTACGAAACACTGGCAAGTGAAGCAGAACAGGCTGCAGGTAAGAGAGACCTGACGACATTGTATCAAATAACCAGGTTGCTATCAGGGAATAGACCAACACAGATGAAACCAATAAAAGATGAAGAAGGAAATTTAATTAATAAGAAGAGAAACAGAGGAAACGATGGGCCGACCACTTCAAGAAGCTCTTGAATCGACCACCACCTGCACTTCGTCCAGAAATACCACCTGCAGCCGCTGAATTACAAGTGAACATTAATCCCCCAACGAAAATGGAAGTCCTGAACGCCATAAAGCTACTGAAATGCGGGAAAGCAGCAGGACCAGATGGAATACCGCCAGAAGCACTGAAAACAGATGCAGAGACAACAGCGGACATGCTCACACCACTATTGCAGAAGGTGTGGAAGGAAGAGAAGGTACCTGACGATTGGAAGAAGGGTTACCTTGTCAAACTGCCGAAGAAGGGAGACCTCAGTGCTTGCAAGAACTGGCGCGGAATCACTCTCCTGTCCACCCAAGCAAGCAAAATATTAAGCCGCATCATCCTGGAGAGGCTTAAAGATGCACTGGATTCAAAACTGCGACCGGAACAGGCAGGCAGGCTTCAGGAAGTACAAATCATGTGCAGACCAAATTGCAACGCTTCGTATCATCATAGAACAGAGCATAGAATGGCAATCACCTCTCCACCTCAACTTCATCGACTTTGAGAAGGCCTTTGACAGCGTCGACCGAGAAGTAATTTGGAAACTGCTTCAATACTACGGAGTACCGCAAACCTTTATCCGCCTCATTCAACAACTATATGAAGATGCTACATGCCAAGTAATCCACAATGGGAAGCTCAGTGATGCCTTTGAAGTGAAGACAGGAGTGAAACAAGGTTGCCTACTATCCCCCATGATATTCTTGATTGTGGTGGACTGGATCATGCAGCAAACAGTAGGCAGCGAGAAGAGGGGGATACACTGGACGGCGGAAAAGAACCTAGAAGACTTGGATTTCGCCGATGACTTATGCCTAATGTCACACAAACTTGAAGATCTGCAGGCAAAAACTAACAAGTTGGCAGAAGAGGCAGCAGCGAAGACGGGACTTCAGGTGAATATAGAGAAGACAGAAGTGATGAAGATACCGCACCACCACCATCAACAACAACAACAAACTCCAATCACCGTCAACGGGAGAAACTTAAAGGAAGTAACCTCCTTCACTTATCTAGGAAGCACTGTTTCAACTACAGGCGGGACGGACGAGGACGTCAAAGTCAGAATCGGAAAAGCAAGACAGGTATTCATTAGCCTGAAACCAGTGTGGAGATCTTCTGCACTCAGCATGCGGAACAAGATACGGATTTTCAACACCAACGTCAAGTCAGTGCTCTTGTATGGCTCAGAGACTTGGCGCGTCACGAAAGGTATTTCCAATAAACTACAGACATTCATCAACAACTGCTTACGCTCGCTGCTGAAGATCAGATGGCCAGAAAAAATAAGCAACAAGGAACTCTGGGAACGAACCAACCAAGAACCTATCACGCAACAAATATGCAGGAAGAAGTGGAGATGGATTGGCCATGCACTGAGAAGGCCGACTGAGGACATCACGCGTCAGGCAAGTCACTCGAGTGGAATCCCCATGGGAAGCGACGAGTTGGACGTCCGAGGGTGACATGGAGGAGGTCGTGCGAGCAGTAAATGAGAGCTTCTGGGCTGTCGTGGGACCAGGTTCAAAAGATCTCAGAGAACAGAGGTCACTGGAGACGTGCTACTGAAGCCCTATGTTCCACTAGGAACCCAAGGGACTAATAATAATAATAATAATATGAACTATCAAAATACTTAGCATCGATATTCTATCTTATTAGAAACCGTTCAAATTCCAGACTAGTAAACTCTTACGACTTAAGAATAAATGTTAATGACCTGCACATAGAAGAGGATAAAAGAATGGTCAATTCCCAAGTAACATGTCTTTATACTAAAATAGCGACCAATATAGCAATGGAGGCAACCAGGAATCAACTAAATACTGACTATGAACTTACAGAACTAAGACATAAGTTGATGAGGTCATATTAGGCGTACAATTGTTCCTGACCTCCGCACTCTTCAAGTTTCATGACAAAATATATTGACAAACGGAAGGTGTAGCATTGGGATCTTCGATATCCTCAGTCATAGCAGATATATTTATGGATAACTGGGAAGACACGGAGTTACAAACGTTTAGTCCTGCACCAAAAATATGGCGGCGATATGTAGATGACACATTTACTGTGTTGAAATCCGAACACATCGAAAGTTTCGTCACACATATAAAGTCAGTAGTAGAGGCAATCCAATTCAATTACGAGGTAGACAGTGAACAAGGAGAACTATGTTAGATTGCAGGATAAAACAAACAACAGACAGTGGTTTGGATACTACCGTCTACAAAAAATCAATACATTCTAACAGGTATCTAGACCTCAGGTCATCTCATCCAATATGAGTTAAGGTAGGCTTAGTCATATGTCTCAATGATAGGGCTAGTCAATGCAAGGACGTAAACAAGGAACTGAAGCGCATAAAAGAGGCACTAATAGTTAATAATTATCCTCTACAGTTTATTAAGAAATTCGTACAAACATAAAAAACAAAATGATGAAAGTGATATGAATACAAATAATGGCGACAACACAAGTAGGAATGAGTTCACAGCCTCCATTGTGTTACCCTAAAAAGTATGTACATGAGAAACTTTACTAAGGATCCCCAACTAGACTGGAACTAGAGTGGCATTTAAACCTACAACTTACTCAGAGATAAACTGTGTTGGTTGGCTTAAGGATTTGATAGAACCAATTAAGCAAAATAATCTGATCTATCAAATTCCATGTGATGACTTTCGAGGTCAAGTACAAAGGTCAGTCAGAATAGTGGAACATAAGAATTTAACTAAATACAGAATGACAGACCCGAATAAGATCAATAATCTAACGAAAAAAAACTCGGTTATTGCAATGTATTCATTAACATACAACCATACAATAGGGTGGGTGGGATAAAACCACTGTACTCGAGTCCAATATAATTAGATGAAGAGAGAGAGAGATTGGTTACTGAATCTCTGTTCATCGAATCTACACTCAATACATGTAATAGAAATGACGCATCACCTATACCAGAGATGTGGAAAACTTCACTACCAATAAAAGCAAATAATATGAGGTGACATGATTATAAAAATCAGATGTTGAAAGTGGTGTGATTACATTGATCTGATTATGAACGATAATAATTTATGCTTGAAGTGTCGTCATTAAGTAAGTAATACTGTATCACTGTATGTTATAAACCAAATAAACAAATCTAATATGGAATTAAATTCTACCACACTGCATTTATACAGCTGAAATCAATAAGTTTTCAACAGTTTAGAAAGTATACATTTTAACTCTCTGATAGTTTAGACTGAGTGATTGCTTTCGGTCCACAAAGGGGGTTGTTAGAAAACCAAGCACGCAGTAACATTCTAACTACTGACATTATTGGTGGATAGTTTTTTTTTCAAAAAGTCAAACTATACTACTAAACACTTGCAGTTTTTTCTCTCTTTTATTATCAAAATAACCAACAGCTTACTCATCAAGCAAACTTGAAATCATGGTATATTTGGTTATGGATATTCGATGGAATCTGGCATGGATGGGTAATATTCTATGGGACCACTTATATACTTTCCGGTGGACAGTATTTCTCTGAAGGTACATTTTATGAATCACAAGGTAGCCTACAACATTTATTTGATATGAGCCTATATGGATGCGCAACTTTTATCTTTGTATGGCTTTCAGTAACGGTGAGAATTTTCATTGTAACACGTGATTACAATATTGTAGTATTTGGTGGATTTCTGGTTACCATGATATTAAATACCGGAATATTAATGGCTTTACAGGTAATTAATATTTTTTTAGGCATAATTTCATCTATACAATAAAGATGTATCATAAAGTTAATTTTAATTATATGAAATTTATTTTAGAACGTTATGAATACTGTTTATGCAGTCAGCGTTATTTCACAGAACTGCACAGAAAAGGATACTTTGAATAGATGTCGAAAACTTTATTATTTAAAACTCAGGCTTGACAAGTATCAAGCTGTGATATTACATCACGTTTATAATTTCTATAAAAGATGATAATTATATAGTATTATCTAAACTTCGATAATTCATTGTGAATGCTTTATCTCCAGTGGTGATGAATTTTCTCCATCTAATGGTCAAAGACGCATATTTACCAAAGATTTATCAGAAGAACTAATAAGACATTTTATGGGTAAAAAGATATTTAAAGCAAATTTGCAAGTTAAGTGTATTTGGTTACCTAAAATATCAAAAGCCGAATACAATGAATTGACCGCTCTTCTAAGGTCACTTTATTGGGAAACTACAAGTACTGATGAAAAGACCCTAGAGGATTTGGATTTCATTTATGATGATTTATGTCTAGTGTCATACAAACTTCAGGTGGATGTAGAGAAGACAGAGTTGATGAAGATACCCAACCACCACCACCAAGAACAACAACAAGCAGCAATCACCATCAACACCAGACATATAAACAAAGTTGTCTCTTTCACCTTCCTACCTACCTACCTACCTTCCTACCTACCTAGGTGGCATCCTGTCAGCTACACGCGGCATAAGCACAGGCACAGATGCGGATGTCAAAGCAGCCAGGATCGGAAACACACCAAGACAGGCCTTCCTACATCAATCTGAAATCAGTGTGGAGATCTACTCCACTCCACTCCACTCAGCACAAAGCGTGAACAACATCCCGATTTTCAACACTAATGTCAGCCAAGTAAGTCAATGCTTCTATGCGATGGTTGATAGACTTGGCATGTTACGAATAGCATTTCAAACAAGCTGCAGACATACAACAACAACACCTGCCATCTACGCTCACTCGATAGTGAAGATGGAGATCAGATGACCAGAATAATAAGAATAAGTAAGGAGGAACTCTGGTTGGCCCTGCAATGGACCAACCAACCAAGAAGCTATCAGGCAACAAATATTCAGAATAAAGTGGATGTGGATAGGATTGTATTGGACATACAGTGAGAAGACCGATTGGTGACATCATGCGCCAGGCCAGACCAAGCCGTCAAGTGGAAGCCTCAAGGGAAACGCGGAGTTGGGCGTGTGAGCCAAGGTGACATAGAGGAGATGGTATGAGGAAGAAATAAAATCTTGTGGGCAGTGGTGGCGCCAGGTTGAAAAGACTGGAGAGAGTAGATTGAAATGGTGTCGTGCTAGTGAAGCTGTCTGTTCCACTAGGAACCGAAAGTATATACCATAGTAATAACAATAATAATAAGACAAGTACACACTTAAGATTTCTATTCTTCATAGTCAATACCTGAAGTACTTTTCAAGCTGTTCTCCAGGTATTTATTGCCATCAAGCTTAGTGCACATCTTGTACAATTGAATACTGTCAACATGAATTTATACGATAATTCTAATATCTACCTTATCTTTGGAGAAGTTTTACTGAATTGTGGAACATAGTATTAGTTGGTGAATGAAAACTAAAGAAAATCCTGGGCTTTTAATGAAACACAACTGGCATCAGCCTTAATCCTCGATACAGTGTCATGCAGCAGATCGAAATTGTTGAAGAAAATTCTATACGGATTAACTTCAATAATTTGCATCTTCCTACCTTGAACTTAGAATAGACAAATAAAGTGAGTAACCAGTGAGATGTCCCGTAAAAAGATATATCCTTTACTCTCCGAGAAAAGTAAAGAAGAATACTTGCTGTTGAATCAAATGAAATTGAGAGTTAGTCTTCGGTTCAATGTGATCACTGCCGTTTGCTAACAAAGAAAATGCATGAATCAGTAGAGAGAATAAACTCCTCATAGGTTGAAATGGTTATTACAAGTTGATACAAGCTGAAAAGGATAAGTAACTTATTCAGATTTGTAAGCCTGTGGAGATTGACTGGTTTCAAGGTTATATACATCGCGGATAGATTATAGTTACAGAACCGTTAAAAACTTCAAAGCACTGGACAGCTGTTTTGTCTTGACCAGAACACACTCAGGAACCTCAGATTCCGTAAGAAGTATGTTATTATTCAGCCACTGCGTTTAAATCCAATGGTTCACACTTGCTTACGTCTTTTTTTGATTTGCAACATAGCTCTATCGGTTAGTATTTGTCACTACATCCAATTCGATTGACCCCATAGGTCACAGTTACTCATTAAGACTTCAAGAAAATTCACAGTCACACTCTAATAATGATTAATTATGTCCATTATAAGTCAGCAAATGACTGCAGAAAACGCCTCTTCACTTCAAAATGACAGAGAGGTAGAATCATAGCAGTTTGTTCTACTCGATAAAATAAAATATCTTAAGTATTGCAATCAATGTGAAGAACCCTGAATCAGTCAGGTAATGAACTATTACAAATTCACTTGAAGTAAAAAATAATTCCATTAATCAAGACAAAGAATGAACACAAGAAAATCATCTTTATGAAATGTCAACTGTTATGAATGATAAACATGAAGTAATCGAAATTCATATTTACTGACACTTTCATATCTGAATTAATGAATCTGAACACTGATGCCAATATTCAGTATGAACACTCATAAGGAACAATTCAAGTTGTTACTTCTTTCTTCAAATCAACCATGACTTCTGTCTTGGTTGTATTGTGTACTCTGAGCTCGGTTGTTTAATCATGGAGCTTTCATCATCTTCCTAGACAACATCATCAACACTTACTTCAGTATGAAGTCACCTGTCGACAACTCTCCATAACAGATTGAGTAACTTGCCATGAAAAACTACCTCATGATTGGTTGTTTCCTTCGATTGTTGTATCATTGACTGCATGGATTTCCCTGTTCACTCTCCTTCTACTTGACCCTTCACCTTCCCCTCGTTCATCATCTTCCTCATTGCTTGATACATTCGGTCTATGTCTATGCATCTATTCATTGTTGACTGACTGGCCGACTGACTGAATGAATGACTGAATGACCTGAATCACAAGCTCCTATGAATTCTCTGATATTCTTCGTCTTTCTTCTCTCTCTCTCTCTCTCTCTCACTCTCTCTCTCCAAAATTTCCACATTGTCAAAGTTCAATTCATCTGCATACTTGTTATCCACGTGCATTGAAGTGAGTGATGAAATGTCATGTGTGATGTTTAATAGCCAATTGGTGTTCATGTGTACGAAGGTGAAGAGGGTGATCACTTTGTTCAATGTAGTGTTGACTACGGTTATTACAGTTGATTTTGTAAATGATGTTCGGTTTGTCTTCTTTGGTAGTTGTATCCTTTTGGTCTACATACTGGTGTTTGGAGGGAATTTGTTGGAAATTCTACCCTTCTTAACTCTATTATTCAGAACAAAGTATGCATTAGCCAAAGATGACAAACCAAATATCATTCACAAAGTGTCCTGCACAACACAAGGTTAATTTGTAAACCAAAATACAGTTCATCAAAACTTACCACTTTTTTACAGTTTCCTTCTTACACATGACATTTGAGTTTCACCTATCACTTGAGTACAAATGACTACAGAACTGACTGAAACTTTAATTTTGCTAACTAGCCATCTGTTTTAGCTTTTACACAATAAGACACAATAAATGATAAACATTCCAAACAATATGTATCACTTCGATTAATTCTTCATTATGAAGTTAGCATTGAGGTGTCACCAGGTCTGGTGACAAAACATCCACGACACAAGGCCGAAGCTTAGAGAACACCGAATCACCATCATCCTCATTCTGAGCTACAAATCTTCACCATCGTTTCACTCCCATTTTCCTGGGAATTTGGAAGAATTTTGATGTAAGTTGTTGGATAGCAAGATCAAATGACTTCGAAATGTTGGTGAATATTTGTAGGTCAGTTGGATGATCTTGGTTGTATTGTGTTCTCTGAGCTGAGTTGTTTAGTAGTGGAGCATTCATCGTCTTTCTGGACGACATCATCAGCATGCAGATTCTGTTCAAAAGAGCGAGAACACACTGCAGTGTAACAACTTCATGAAGAAATGAAAATTACCTGATGTCTATGCTCAAGAAGAATGGCTACTTGTAAAATTTTGTCAGAAGATACCTATCCATCTCTTACAACATCAACTACAAAGTTGTCGTCAAAAATTAATCAACGCATCACCCTGTCGTACATAGAGAATATATCAGAAACCACGACAAGAACTACTGAGACCACTTGATGGAATTGGTGTGACTCATTAACCAACAAATTCCCTCCAAACACCAGTATGTAGACCAAAAGGATACAACTACCAAAGAAGACAAACCGAACATCATTTACAAAATCAACTGTAATAACCGTAGTCAACACTACATTGAACAAAGTGATCACCCTCTTCACCTTCGTACACACGAACACCAATTGGCTATTAAACATCACACATGACATTTCATCACTCACTTCAATGCACGTGGATAACAAGTATGCAGATGAATTGAACTTTGACAATGTGGAAATTTTGGAGAGAGAGAGTGAGAGAGAGAGAGAGAGAGAGAAGAAAGACGAAGAATATCAGAGAATTCATAGGAGCTTGTGATTCAGGTCATTCAGTCATTCATTCAGTCAGTCGGCCAGTCAGTCAACAATGAATAGATGCATAGACATAGACCGAATGTATCAAGCAATGAGGAAGATGATGAACGAGGGGAAGGTGAAGGGTCAAGTAGAAGGAGAGTGAACAGGGAAATCCATGCAGTCAATGATACAACAATCGAAGGAAACAACCAATCATGAGGTAGTTTGTCATGGCAAGTTACTCAATCTGACTTCATACTGAAGTAAGTGTTGATGATGTTGTCTAGGAAGACTATGAAATTTTTAGGATTCAACAACCCAGTTCAGAGAACACATTGCAACTAATAGCATCCAGCTGAGCTGCAAACGCTTTCCTGTACTGTAATTTCTGTTCTAAATCTTAGGCTTTTGTAAGCCATGAATGTGTTGAACAGAATGTCTCAGAATGATCATCCCCTGAAATTCATTTCATGTGTTTGATATTATGATAACAAAATTTAAGACATAAGGGAGCAACTGAATAACTCCCCATCTTACAGTCAAATTGAATATAACTATAACCATCTGTCAATGACGGTAAACGTTATATTTCTCTTCTACTGATTACGTTTACAGTCTCTGTAACAATATATCATATCCTAATGAGTATGACAGAAACTTCTTTTGAAAGTGCTTCATGCTCAATGTTCAATATATAAACAAGTTGTCATACGAAGCCAATTCAATACCGTTTATTAGTAAAATTCAAAACATTGAAAAATCAAGGTCACAATAATTCGGTAGTAAGTTTGATTGATAAAAGGTTCGACTGATAGCAGAATCCATTCTTCATTATTTTACTTGGTTGTATTTTAAATGAATGATAGACTTCTGTTTTTGTTTCGTCAAAACAATCACTTAAGAAGATCTTCAAGAAGTTGAGTAGAATTAATTTCTGGTGACCGTTTACGGATTCTTTATTGTTTCAAGTAGATTTTTAGTGTTTTATTAACTATAGTGAATTTCCCACTTCTTTTTGACTACTGAAATTGATTGGTGTTGACTAGCATCACATAATATATTTGTGCAATAAACTTCCAATTCTACTTAAGCTTTCGCTCAGAAATGCAAAAATGTAGCCAAATTATAGAACTTCGAATATCAAGATAACGCGTGCATAAATCCCGCTTCGTTTGTATATTTCTCCAGGTGACATTTATTTTCCTAAGGTTTTCTAAAAGAATTCTAATAATCGTTTCCAGACTTACAGTTACTAATATAGAGTTTCTACGAGTCTCCTGTTTAAACTGATTAACAGGGAATTTCTTCAATAACTAGTTTTTTAAAGGTATGAAATATTAGTATTATTGCTTGTATTATACCGTCGTTGATTGGACCGAATTGACCTTTCTCTATTGGCATATGGGCTCCTGTGTGGATGTTTCGATATTAGCTGTTTTAATTCTAGTAATAGGACGAAATGCATATCCTGGGTTCCACTGCTAGCCACTTTCCATCGTTACTACATATAATCAAAATACGGGCAGTATCGAGGCATCTGCGCAGGAGCCTATATGCTAATGATGACCGATCTATTCGGTCCAATCAGCGACGGTATATACTTGTCGCATACGAGGTGGCTATCATGGCTCGCTGGTGTAGTGGATAACGCTCTGGCGTTTGGAGTGATCAATCGCGAATCCGAATCCAGGTGGGAACAACACCATTCACTGGGAGGCAGGTGCATCCAGCTGACGAGCCCCAAGTAGGACGAAATGCGTATGCCGGATTGCACAGATAGCCACTATCTATCATTACCGGTATGAAATATTGACTGTACAGTGTCTTACAGTTGTCAGAGTCCCTTTGCTCATTCATATACTGCAAGTTTCATGTTTCAAATCAAACAATGCATTAAAGAAGCAACAATTAAGACTCAGAATTAACTGGAGAGTTACTCATTAGACTACTGGGTACTATAGCCACTCCTCGTGGGACGGATGTAGTTTAATATTATACTTCGTAACTTCCTATCGCTGACTAGACCAAATAAGTAAGGCGAAACTTCTGTACATTTTGATGAAATATACACCAATATAGACCATCATATAATTATGCTTTTTCATTGTCTATTCAACATTCAATTTAGAGCACAACCACACTAGATAACATAAATTTTCGAAGTTATACAAAATTATCCAAAAGTCCAGCATTCTGGTTTGCTATGCCAATTATCCTAGGAACAGCTAATCTACCATCACTATTATGGAGGATAATATCAGATGCATGGTGGAATTTACAAATTCAACTCAGTAATATACCACAGAAACAAGCCCGTCAAAGATACCGTCGATCACCAGCGGCATGGATACGTGCCTTGACAACTAGTTATCTTGGATATTCATCAGAAAAGAGTACTGAAAAGGAGCCTATTTAGTCAAAGTTCAGTAACATACGTTGATAGAACTATCATTTGAGTAAGTCTATGAGTATTCCTGTCAATATTATTTCTAATTGAAGTTGAAAAAGGAATTTGTCTAATCTTTTTATTTTGATTCCATCATTTTGTTTTGAATATGTTTACAAACTGGCTGGATCAAGTTATATATAGTTTATTAAGTGTGGAGTTATAGTTGACTGGTTTGGACTGTTGACTTTCAACCAACAAACCATGAGTTCAAATTTATCTCACCCTACCTACTAAGGTTGAGTGACCCTAAAGACCACCTTAATAACAGCCAAACTAACCAATCAGATCTCTCCATTTTGCAAAAATCTGTTCCACCAGCCAAAATACAGAAACGTAATTGGTTATTTCATTTGTTGCCAGAGTGACCTTTAAAGTCACTCCTAAGGTTTAGGCATCAAGATAATACTGTAAGAAACAAGAAGACTGAGACGAAGCAAGGAATGTTTATTATTGTCATCTTGTACAACAGTCATCAAATGTTGTACACTTTCCACTAAAATAGTCATTTACACATTATACTTCATTTCCTCTTCTACTTCTATCTCCATTTGCTCTTAATACTCCCACATTGTCTCTTGCATTCTTTTTGGAAGAACATTTACCCGCTACTGGTAATTGCCTATGATTTCTACCATCCTCTCAACATATACTACTCACTTCCATTCTGATCAGCGGCGCTTACTACAACATCACTAGCCGTTACTTAACACCTTTGGCTCATTGCTTAATGCAAGAATGTGCACAAGATTGCTGAATGAATCGATTCGATTGGATTTTATTGAGTTAGCAGTGATGAAATTTAACAATAAAACACTGAAACCTGGAGATATTCATATTGAAGACACTAATCACTACGATTCTTTTCACTATTTATCTGAACAAATGGTCGTTTCGTACAACACAACTTAAAGACGGTATATGAAGAATTGGACTCATTCAGCTAACTATCTTTGGATCCAGTGAACAACATAATTAACCTAACATTTATGTACTACTAAGCAGAAGAAATCAACTCCCAGTGCGAATCAGAACTTAACTGTTCATCCAGCCATTTTGATTTAATTAGGGCGAAATACTTTCATTATCACGCTACATACCTACCTACCTAGCTGTATGAAGTTGTATGGTTTGCGGTAACACTGATTTTTTCTAAGCAAGTTAGGTGGCTTCAGTTAATAAATTGACGATTTCCCATAATACTTATAAAAGGGACATTGTGAACAGAAAATATTCTTTTCAATAAATTCTCTTCAGGTTCTGCAGTTATAAAATCCATTTGTACAGCGTGAAATCAAGCCAAGTTGGAGGGCATTTACATTTTCGAACATGGAGTGAAATTGAAGGACTACGAGGAAATGGATTTATCTTTTTCAAATTAATCAGTATTGGGATGATATATATATATATATATATATATATATATATATATATATATATATATGTATATATATATATATATATATAGATGAATGATATAATGTTGATAAACAGAAAGATGACGAATAAGATGTCAGAAGTGGCCTTTAGTTTAGCTTACTGAAGGCCAAGGGAGAAGTAATGCTTGGACATATTCTTTCTGAATGCTGAGTTCAGGCTTGATCAGTCTTATTGCGACAGCCTGTACTATGTTGAGCAGGCATTGGCGAGCTACGTGTGGTATCGTTTTTGGAATGCCCTTTGTCAACTAGGTGTGCTAGGATATTCTTTTACAACGCCTAGCTAGAGCAGTCAGTAGGACGTTTTATGCAGGTCGGCCTTGTATATCATTCAGTAGTCGGCCAATGTTCACTCCGAGCCTAAAAGATAGCCTACCTAATCTCAGCTCTTCATTCTAAATATGTCAATTTAACTGTTTCTGTGGAAGCAGTTACATAGGGCGTACAATTAGGCATGTGTATCTCCGGATACGAGGGCATTTACCAGATTGCTTTGGAAAGGGTGAAGTGAAAGTGGTGAAAAGTTCCCTTCTAGGGCATCTAGTCGACACACGGCATCACATAGATACTAATACAGCTTTCAGTGTCATTCATCGTGTTCTAAAAACGATACCATATGCCATATACCATATGTTGCTTGTATGATCCCGTCGTTCAGTGGATCAAACTGATCAGTCTTTATTGGTATATAGGCTCCCACGTGGATGCCTCGACATTACCTATGTCTCAGTTATATATTGCTGATGGATAGTGGCTAGAGACTGATCATTTCGGTTCACTCAGCGATGGGATAATGAAAGAAACAACATTAAAACTATGCCTAATGCACAAGAAGTGGCTATCGTGACTCAGTGGTTTAGTGGACAACACTCTGGAGTTTGAAGCGAAAGGTTCCGAGTCCGAGTCCTAGTGGGAAGAACATCGCTTACTGGAAGGTAACTACATCCATCTGAAGAGCTCCGGACTGGACGAAACGTGCATCCTGGATTCCACTCTTAACCACTCTAAAATTACCATTATCATAGGAGAATTTACTGATGGTCATGGTTTTCAATGATCGAATTATTACCAATCGATCAACTATTTGGCCCAAATCATCGTGCACTGAAGTATTGTGTTTGTGATAACCAGTGAAAGCATAGATTTGAACCATCAACTAAACAACTATTAGTTGTCTTGTAGGATCAGTAATGGGTCCAGAAGTGTCGAATGAAAGAATTAAGTTCCATTGTTCAAAGGTTGATATCATGCTTTTGAAAAATGAAATTGTCTATTTCATTATTAAAAACAGTCATCTATAGACGTTCCCCCTTCTGTAAATATGAATTAATAATTTTTAAACTTTTCTTTGGATCTCACTCTTGAAAGAATATACCAATAAGGACACTGAGTGGTTGTGAATGACTTCTTGTAGGACTGGATAATAATAATAATGACCGCTTCATTGCAAGTAGTATGTATGACAGTATAGAATTCTCGGCATATAATTTTCCAAAAAAATTCACTCCTGGAACAATACTTTCAAAAGAAATGGTTATTACTTCTGAAAGATGTTAATAATAAAAGTATTCAACGCAATAATATGAAATAGCCAGCTGGTTCTGGATGGGCATCTGGTCGATAATGTAGAATCAACAGACATGTAAGTGTAATTTTGGTGGTGGTGGAGGTTCAATCAGACAGCACAAAAAAACTGCAACTCAAGCTAATCACCTAACGGATAGAAATATAATGCACTTTTTGCACCGGAAAGTCCATTTCTATATAACGTAACATTTTCTTTTTGCTTTGTTACTGACTTGAGAAAGGGGGAGACGAGAACGGTTTAAAAATGTGCAAGAGTACATGATACGTTCAAAGAACATATTTAAATGATTAAAACAAATTGAAAGGAAAGAATTATATTATAAAATGTTCGATGGATAAATTTGGTAGCCCAAAGTTCAAGCAGGCCGCCTGAGATACATCGATTGATACACTGGTAGTTAGAATTCAATCGAAAGTTAAGACTAGACAACATGAAGTTGGTCACCCTCAAACGATTATTCACTGTACACTTTCTGATTATTTAAGGAAGTGAAACAAAATGAAACTAGATTTCATAAAGAAAGCAAACACCAAACTATTCATATGATGCACTCATAAAGGAGCATATTATTTTCTAAAGAGTACTTCACAGATATATTCATGACATAATAACTTATGATGTACACTGGGATATTTCTCCTTTAAGAAGGTGGCAGATTTTTCTAGTCAGTAATCCAAACAAAGGAAAGATTTTATATTGATTTTATATTTAACAATATTGAGAATTAAAGATAAAGGAAAGGATAGTGTTATTGCTTGTATTACAACGTCGTTGATTGGACCGAATTGATCAGTCTCTATTGACATATGGGCTCCTGTGGGGATGCTTCGATGTTGCCTGTGTTTTAATTATGTATAGTAATGATGGGCAGTGGCTAGTAGTGGAATCCAGGATGCGCATTTCGTCTTACTTTGGACTCGTCAGCTGGATGTACCTGCTTCCCAGTGAGTGACGCTGTTCCTACCGGGACTCGGACTCGGGAGCAATTGCTTCGGACGCGAGAGCGTTCTCCACTACACCACCGAGCCACGATAACCACTTCTTGTGAAACGGGTATAGTTTTAGTGTTAAAGCTTGTATTACACCATCGTAGGTTGGACCGAATTGATCAGTCTCTATTGGCATGTGGGGTCCTGTGCAGATCCCGGTGGGAACAACAACACTCACTGGAAGACAGGTAAATCTAGCTGACGAGTCCCAAATCGGACGAAATGGTCATCCTGGATCCCACTGCTAGCCACTGCCCATCATTACTAAAGGAAAGGTTATTTACGTCAGTAGTGACACCTTTCTTGACACATGAAAATATAACAGGAAATCTTCAATGTGAATGCGTGGATGGGTACTGAATCTCCTTGTTCAATATTGTCTGCATAAAATCATTTTCTTCTAAAATATGCCTACCAATCACTGAGTGTGGAATTTGCTGTCTTTTGCTATTTGATGTGTGATGTATGTTTGTGTGCCTTTATTCATTCTATACTTCTTTATAAATACGGGTTAAAGCCTTCTTTAGAAAGTGGATTGTCACAGTCAATCGTAAACTAGAAATCCTTCACCTACACATGAAAACACACCTCGATATTGCCTGAATGTTAATTATGATAAATTGGTTGGTTGCGGCTAGCAGAGGAATCCAGGACGTGCGCTTCGTCCTATTTGGGATTCTCCAACTAGATGTACCTGCACCCCAGTGATGTTGTTTCCACCGGGACTCCAACCCCGCACCCACTGCTTCAAACACTAAGGCGTTGTCCACTATGCCACGGAGTAACGGTAGCCACTTCTTGTGCAACAGATAGTAGTTATTACTATTTATTGACATACTTGTTCTTCTCTGTTGTATTTTGTTGGATCGAATTGTACTTGGGTTCCTAGTGGAACATAACGGCTTCACTAGCACGGCACCATTTCAATCTACTCTCTCCACTCTCTTCAACCTG